AGAAAAGGCAGAATAGACAGGAAGGAGGCATAGCAACTGGTTGCAAAGCAGTTTCATTAACCAGCACATACAGTCTAATCTTGGACATAAATCTAGTGCACAGATTCCATGGCAGTCCAGGACCCTCCTCCAGCAGACAAATACAAAAAAGTGCAAACTGCAACTCTGGACACCTCTGTCAGTCACATATCCAGACCACAGCGAAAGTTGAGGAGAAGCAGCAGGCAGGAAAAAGTATGTTCAAAATACACCACTAAGACCAATCTTTCTCCCACCAGCAGGAACATCAAAGGAAGACAGAACAGCACTGCACAAAAGTGCTGCAACACAGAAATTCAGAGCAGGCTTTTTGGGTATGGCCGCATGAAGCGGTAAACACACTCCTAGGGTGATTGCCTCCCAGGGTTTTGCAGAAATATTGGTCTCAGATTTATTCATACAAGAAGAACAGAGGTGACTCCTGCCACTTTTAAGTACTGAGTCATGAAGCAATGGCTCTACTTATCCCTTCCCCCCCGCCTTGTCCTTTAAACCTTTGATTCTGTTCAGTTTAGTGATCGTACACCTCTCCCACTCATCTGCCAGGAGCTGACCACCATGCCATTAATGCCCTGTGGAGATGTCCTTTCCATAAAGTATCAAGACTCAGTATATGGGCAGACCTCAAGTAGGGCTGGTTCAGAGAGCCAGTCCATCTCCCCAAAAAACATGGAGATTGGGATCTTGTGCTTTTGATTCATTTGAACCTGACACCTCTCAGAAAAGCACAGCCCAACACATTCTGCACGCAGATTTGTACCGCAGGGCAGAGTCCAAATCTCACCTTTTGGAGGGGTCAAATCGATGCTGTTCTTCTGACAGAAGTTAACGGGGAAGATGGCATGTGAGGAGGCATGATAGCAGAACCAGTCAGAGCCATCAGCAGATGTAGCTCCATCAATGCTAATCATGAGATACCCATCCAAGAGGACCTGAGATGGGAGTGAAGGGCATAAGTGTAGAGCTTTGCTCTAAAATCTCTTCTCTCAAAAGATCCTCCCAACAGTCCCCACAGATGGATCACAATTGCCACTAGATAGTAGAATGCAACGTAATTTGTTCCAGGGCATGCAGTAGGTTCTCCTGATACATTAGTCAACACAAGCTAATCCCCAAAGCAGCAATTTCTGCAGGACTGGGACCAACACTAATAGGCTTGTGAAAAGGACTCAGCCATAAACAGTCAGCAGCTTTGTCCTCCCTAAGAAACAGACTTTATTGGCAGCCCAGAGACCCTCTACACCAGCCAGCTCATGAATTTGTTACTAGGCAGAAGGGAAGGGCACCACCTTCAGACTTTCCACTTCCTACAGCAACAAGAATGTACCATCCCGTCACTCAATGGTAACTGGTGCCTACCAAATGTGATAGGCATGTCTGCCCGTGCCTCTTCACGTTTCCAACCAATGGCTGAAGGGAACATTTTAGACACGAAGAGCTTTCCTAGCATCCCCCTGACAAACCCCAAGTGTCAAAGTCCTCTGCTTGGGTTCAACAAGGGCAAACAGCTCCTTCAGGGAGCAAGAAAAGCCCAAGTCGATGCTATGCTTTAGGACATGCAACACACCTCACTGAGGAAACCTGACCAAGCAATTTACTTTCCAACACTAGCACAGGAGTAGAGCTCACTACCACCTCATCAAGAGATACTGCAGGAGACACGTCTGTCCTCACGCTTCCTATACCAGTGAATGCTGCCCATACAGATACACACCATTCCCCACACAGAGGTCAGCCCACAACTCTTACCCTCTCCTTTCTCTCCTCAAGGCAGCACTACAGAGGCCTCTTCTTTATGGACTCCAAGAACTGGAAAACAAATCTTCCCTGCTGCATGCCCAAGGGTGAAGAAAGGGTGGCTGCCAGTCACCCACACTGAACAGAGCTTGCAGACCAAGCATGCGCATCTTCATGCTGTTCACTTAGGCACATGTGGACAACTGCTGGTCTCATCAGCTTCTCAGACCTCTGAGGTAATGCCCCAATTCCCTCCATACACCAGTTGCCTACTGCTATTGACAGCCCTCTTCTCTCCCTCATGCAAAATCCTACCCGGTCTTATTCATTTGCAAAGACCTGAGAGGTTGGGTTATCCCCAGTAAACACAGTAGACCCCCTTCCACCCACTGAACTTACCTTGCAAACGGTGGCCACACAAATGTTGCCCAGATTCAGGGGGTCAATGGCCTCCAGTTTCATGCCTTCCTCAAACCATCCACCTTCAGCATAGACAGCTCGTACCTAAGGGAGACTCTGGTATACCATGTGCTGTCAGGGATATGGAACAGTCCCACCCCGACACCAACCACAGCAAGTGCAAACAGGATTAGAGCTTCTCTGCTTGGCTCAACCCAAGTTGGGAGGGAAAAGAAGAAAAATTACAAGTAGTACAAAGAGGCAGCCAGACTAATGCTGTGTTTGTGTCAGCAATCTCCTGCTAAGGCCCTGGTCACTCGGAGAGCCCAGCCCAGCACTTGGCCACTGCTCCACAGCAAAGCAAGCCTCCTCATCTCAGTCCTTACCAGTATGAACCAGCCCCTTGTCTGAACAGGTCACTCCCATGCAATCGTCTTTCCTCTCCAACTCAAAGTTCTGAGCAACTGCTCGCCCTTCAATGGAACTCCTCAATTTGTCATTGACTTTTAGTTCTTCCATCTTTCTATTTTGACCTGCCCCTGCCCAACCACAGCCTTGACACCCCAAACACCTTACTGCCCTATAGCTGTACAGACAACAAATGAGTCATCCTCAACAACCCACACAGCAGCATATATACCCATGGAAGGAAGTAGTATCATTGCTTCCTTTGTTGTGGCCAACACAGAAAGGCAAACTTGTCCTACCTTTTTAAACAGATAGGGTACAGCATCACAGTAAATCTTCCGGAAGGTGGGATGGTTTGCCATGTCACTGCGTTTTTCTTCTGCGAGGAATGGAAGAAACAAAGAGAGGTAAGAAACCTGCAGCAACAGCAGTAAGAAAACACACTAGCTATTAATTATCTGTTGAGAGCTCAGCAGCTATGATAGAGCTAGATCAGAGACCATGAGAAGACAATAAAAAAAACAGGTCAGTCCTTCTACACCTTCCCATAACATGGGCTGTGATGCAGGGCTTGTTCAAAAGCAGATGGATAAACTTCCTGAGCTCTAGTGATGACACCTCTACATACAGCTGTAATCACCAGGGAGAGGCAGCAAGGAAGGGAGACACAACAAAAAGGATCGGCAGGGCTTGAGTCTTGTTTTCTTCTGCCAGCCTAAGCTGATGAAGAATTCCTCTCTGTAAAGTCCAGAAAAAACACAACCTGATGGCATCCAGTATTACAGAAGCCAGCATGAATTTCCTCAAAAAGACTATAAACATCTGATGTTGCAGAGTCTGCATTCTCACACTGTGGGGATAGACTATCTGCTTCAGGTAAGAAACCCTACAGTCCCTCTGTCCTGACCTGTGGCAGCAGATCACTGGGCTTTTATCTATCCAGGGGGAAAAGCAGCAGACACATGACTGCATAGACCTTATCTGTCAGGTCCTCAGACAACTGCCTGACTCCCAGCACGTCAAGACTGGTGTCAACAGCAGGGTCCAGGCAGTTCATAGCAAATCGGAAGATGCATGTGGTGGCCTAATCCCCACCTGTTTTCTTCATGCTGTGGCCCACTCTCCGTGACCAGCCCACAGGATAGATGAGGGGACTCCACATGTGGCACCAGAAGTCATCATCGCTGTCGCCGTCCTCATAGAGGAGTCTCAGTCTGCCCCCGATCACCGTGTCCACCACTGCCATCCGTGTCCGGGACACGTGGTTCTTATCCACCACCTCCACCCGCATGCCCTGCCGGAACGGGTACTTCATGCTCTCCGCCATCTAGCAATAACCAAAAGAGGAGGTGGGATCAATCACACTTGGTGTCTTCCTCCCCCAAACACTTCAGAGAACAGCTTTCCCCACAGACATCCAAGCCAACGCCCTGCGTTGCCCAAAGCTGACTGGGAGACACTTCTGGGAAAGGATGCACGGGGACAGGGAACTGCCAACCCCACACATTCCAGCACAGTTGGGCACACGCATCCTAAATCTCCCCTGTCCTGTGGCCCCATAACAGCTATGCCCACCATGGCCCAGCAAGTGTGCTCAGCCAGCACCTAGTGTGAATGTTCTGAGCATGAGAAACAGATGTCACTTCTGTTCAGCAGGAACTGAGCAAGGAATGGCATGCCTTTTTCAGTCATGAGACCATTAGGATTTCAAGGCTGGAAGCAGTAAGAAATGTAGCTTCCAAAAGGGCAACAGGATTTTCAGTTGACTTTAAAAGAGGTCAGGCCCTTATTTTCACTTTTTTACTGCGATTAGTGGAAGAGCATCATGATGATCTCTCTGTCAACTCCACCTCCAATGCCAGAGTTACTCTGCAGACTGACTCAAAGACACAGGCACTCAAAAAGAGCCACTGGCTTTTTGACTGTTTTTGAGACCTTCAGTTTGGTGATACAGCCTAGCCCTACACATCCACCTAAAGGTGTTAAAAGAACACTTGACATTTTGGCACTGAGGATCCCAGAATGCTGTGCAGCAACTAAGAGCCACAGCTTAAAACAGACTCAGACCCCCAAAATGGCCTATAATTGAATCCAGAACTTTGAAGGGAAGGTCTTCCCCTTTCACCTCCTGTTCATGAGGTGGGACTGGGGATGCTGGGAGGAGAAAGATACTGACAACATCTGTCTCGCTCTACCACTTCCCTTCAATGGCATGGTCTCTCAGCTACAAGCTGTGGCCCAGGAACAAGCAGCTACAAACATCCTCACAACTTTCAGAGAAGGAACAAGGGAAACACAAACTATGTCAAGGTCTCCAGCTCAGCACCACCAACTACCTCACACATAGGAAAACCCATCACCTGCCTTCCTGCCTGCTGTCTCTGGGACCGTCTTCCTTACCTGTGTTTTACAAAGTTACCAGCAACAGGAGTCTTTTCTCCCCAACAAGGTCTAACCTCAGTGCAGGCTACACAAAACAATCACATGGGCTATAAAGCTGACAAAGCCACAGCACAGCTGCTTCCCTGCATTTCGAGGAAGCCTACATGCCTCTCACTCCCTGCAGACTGCTGTGCTACCAACACTGAAGGCAAAGGGTTTGACTTTCAGAGCCACTCCCCAGCACTGAAACAGGGAAGGGAAAGGCCAGGCTGAAGCTGCATTGTCCTCTCCCTCCAGCAAAAAAGCAAACTCACCCCCAGTATTTTCCAGCAGAGGTTGACATGACAACAGCTTTTAAAGCCTATCTATGACTCAAAGGAGAAACGGTTGCGCTGACCATAGGGGCTATGCCATTACCTATAGGATCATTACAGGTGTCTCACTGCCCCTGCTATGCCTGGGTTTCAAGGGAACACATAGAGGAGTTGCACAGATCAGAACCAGAAGAGACACGTTGCACACAGGTCTCTTGGCTTCAGCTTCATTTCCACACATAAAATGACAGCATCCCACATTTACCTTGATGTGGAAATCCACTGGGATGGTCCTGGCCCCCACCAGTTTTTTCATGAGGTAACTTCTCCAGTCAGTGTACTTGGCATGGATAGCTACATACGCACAGGGAAAAAGCACACCTTTATGACTGAAGGAATTGCAGCACCACACTACATTTTTCACCTTCTTTGAGAGTCTATCTGCATTAAAAGGCCTTTGTCACATTCAGATCTTGTACCTGCTCTAAGGCAGATCCTGTTCTGCAAGCTCAACCTCACAACTGGCTGCAAGGGATCACCATTACAGAACAGGGTGGGCCAAGCAGATATCCAACTCCACTGATCTAGATGTGGAAGTGGTATTAGAGCAAAACCACGTGAGCCATACCAAACAATTCTCAACTTGCCAGAACTCTGCTAAACTGGCATCCCTCTCCAAACTGCTAGCTGAGCAGGGGGTGGATCCAGTGTGCTCCCCAGAGACACTGTCCAGGATATAGGACAAAAAAGTTCACCCAAAGGTTAAGCACAGCCACCACGTGGGTCAGAATGAGGAATGGCCAGCTGCATTGGCCTCTGTCCACAGGTCTGACACCACCTCTGCATCCAGCACCCCAAGTCAACCACAGGGAGATGCAGAGGAAGCAGCCCAAGTAGCCTCCAGCTTCCCAAAGAACTAACTATTCCTTGTAACTCAGAACACAAATGGAGCTGTAGTCCCATGTACAGTAGGAGCACCTGTCCTACTGCACTAGGCATAAACCAAGGCTCCTCCGTGCCCAGGCATGTGCTGACCCGTCTCACCCCAAACTTACACTGTGGTGGTACCAAGATTTTGCTGTTGATGGCACACCAGCCAATGGGGTGAATATCCACTGTGCCCAAATTGCACCAGAAGTCATGGCTGGCATCATTCTCAAAGCCCTCATATCGCAGAAGGGCCCTGTACCCTGCCAGGACAGAGCAGACAATCAGAGCAAGGCATTAGAGGCCAAGAACTTCTCCTCTCCCCATTGGGCACCACAGGCTTATTTCCTACAGCATGACCTTCTGAGTTCTGCATAGGGTATCAGAGCTTCTCTAACCATTCTGGAGGCAGAACCGCCCTTGCAAAGAGCCCAGCAACCAGAACAGGAACCAGATGCCGGTTTCCTCCCACCCCCGTACTGTGGTATTTCCTGTTCCCAAATCTCTCAGCAGTTGCAGAGCTCCTAAGAGCTGATGTTTTGCTTCACCAGCTATACTTGGCTCTACAAAGCTTCCCTCAGAGGTTAGTCATCCCCAGCTATCAGGAATTACATTGAAAACATACCTACAGTCTGGATGACGGACGCAATCCAGTACACGCGGCTGGGGAGCACAGCATCACTGTTCAGCACTTCCACTTTCATACCTTTCACCACATCATCCCACTGATCAAAGAGCGGCACCTGAAGAATTGAGGAAGCCACATTGGGAGAGGGATGTTGACAGTTAGAGCTCAGGCCCTCATTCTAGCTTTCAGAGACATGTTTTAGGCAGCTACACTTTCACCTCAGCCCCAGGTTTGCATGCATTAGCCTTCTTCCTATATCTGCCAACAGCCTGAAATGCAACCAAACTATCCCAGCATCTCACTGGGGTGTTCACTGAGGATCCCAAAAGGCAGAACATTGTAGAGCAACGCTTAACTACTTTACTGCCAGCTGTCCTATTATCCCAAAGTAGCTGTTGCCATTCCCCTATGGTATCAAAATCCCTAACTATCAAACTGCCATGTATTCCTGACCAATCCTCAAGAAAAATAAAATTTTGTTAGTATTATCACAGATCACAACTCAAAAGGAACATAACAATTGAGTCTTAATACACAGAGAGGCTGGGGCTGCTATAATACCTAAGAACTGTCATTCTTCCATGGACCTGCCTTGGCTACTTGGCCCACATGGATTTCAAATCAGTATGATAGGAACCAGACATGCTGGAGGGGCAGCTACTGCTAGGCCCACATAAGCTGAGTTCCTCCCTGCAGATCACCCTGGGTTGTGCTCACCCACACAAACTGCAAAGGCAACCAGGAGCTTTCTGCTATCCCCCGCAGTCAGAACTAATTCCGTCCACAGCCAGCAACTGGGCAATCACCACTGGCAGTGCTTCTACCAAGTCCCCCTCTGCATCCTCCCTCAAAACTCCTTGTCCTTCTGTGGGACTCCCATTCTTAGCTGTGAGAAGCCCCAACTTCTTTCCTTGCATCATCTGGGGCTTAATAACTAGCTCCCCAGGTCTCTCCCCACCACTTGTCACAGGAGTACAGGGGATGCATATGGCATGTCCCATGCACACTGCGAGGCGCAGCAAAGAACTCACGTGTTTGAAGCAGCTGACAGGAGCTGCCTTGAAGCCATGCTCCTGCAGGTATTTTCCCCAGTCAAAGCCCAGGACAAGCGCTATAAGCAGACAGGAGAGCAGAAAATCAGAGATTATAGAAAAGACAGAGCACTCAGTTACCACTGGACTACAGCTTCCAGCCACATTGTGGCCTGCTCCAGGACAGAGCCCTCTACCCCAGCACACAGGGTTACTGCATTCCAGAGCATCTTCCCTTGTGGGGAACTAGATCCCACGAGTGCACAGGGACCAGTCCCCGCAGGAGGCACAATTTATTATTAATCAATTCTTGCTGTCACTTGCTTTTGGGGAAGGGGGGGCAGAAGGGGCAAAAAAAAGGGGTCAAATCCAGCCCAGGGCTGAAAGTAGAGACTGCATCATGTCAGCACAAAACCACTTAGCAGCTTTGCCTCTCAGCAGCAATGCTGCAGGGTCATATCAGCAGTTCTTGCCTCTCCAGAGGGTGCTGGCAAAAAATCAGAGCGAAGCACTGAGATATTAATCCCACAGTCACTCCTGATCCAAGGCTCCAGCAGCAGTCTGCTCAGGGATCAATCCCTGCTGCCACCCCCTGGGGCTCCCTTTTGCCCTAACACAGCAGCTTGCTACTCCTTCAACTGCAGTGACTGGTTGTTCCTCAAGCTGATCAGTGAATGAGTCGGCTTAAATATAACTCCACACAGGAGTAGGGCAGCAAATGGCTGGGAGCAGCAGGGCACCTTTAAGGCAGCTTTGCCAGTACCTCATGAGACTGTGACAAGAGAGCTTATGCTTCAGTCCAAGTCGCATGAGGGGCAAGGATGAGACTGCAATAGTGGACGGGCAGGAACCCACCAGGGCTCTACTAGCACCAGCAAGGAGAGAGATGTGCCCTGCGTCCTGCCAGCCTGTGTCAGTGAGATCTACACACACTGTTTCAGTACAAGGCGGTGTACCAGAGAGGAGGAAGAGGACTGTAGGGCTTAGAGCCCTCCAGGTATCCCCATTTCTTTGAATCCAGAAGCCAGACCTTCTCACACCTTGCCTACACTCACCGTCCTGGCCTGTCAGTGTCCCATCTGCCAGCTGCCCCGTGCCCTGAGAATGGAGGAAGGCCCCAATCTTGGCTGACCAGGCTGCCTTGTGCAGAACTTTAGCTTTCTTCGTTGGTGGCTTCCCCTACAAAAGAAGGAACATTAGGAACACTAGTGGCACAGGAGAGGAAGCCAATGCCTGCAACTGGCCAGCAGGGCACGCATCTCTTCCTTAGGGCAATTTTCAAGTTACTACTATTTTTACTAATGCTCAAAGGAACAAGAAGAAACAGCAGATGAAATATCAGTGTGTCGGTTCTCAGCTTCTAGGGAGCACCACCTTTCAGCTGACATGTGCTCTCTGGGGACTTCAGGGAGGAAGAACAAGCCACTGGTAATGGCAGTCTGATCTTTAACTAGAGAGCAACTACCCACCCCTGCATACAGGCGCATCCTACTTCATCCCCGGGGAAGAAGGAAGGGCTTTGATTTACCTGCAGTCTGGCCAGGATGCTGGCCTTCTTGGAGTTTGAGGAGTAACTTCTGGAGCAGGAAACGCTGCAGAAACGCTTGGTCTTGGAGAAGAAAGCCTCCCTGGTGCCCACAATGCCACACATCTCGCACACAGCTGAGAAGGAAGGCATTAAAATGTGAGCAGTTGGCAGGATTGATACACTACAAGGACAGAGCTGAGCTCAGGTAACCCTCATTACACATAGCAGCTCCCACATGTAGCCCAGAAAATGCAGTCTCAATCCAGTGCTGCTCTCAAAGCACACTCAAGATGCAGTCACACACCCCTCAGCTTCCCCCAGCCCTTGTTCTTTCCGTCACACATGTGCTTTAGGTAGAACAGGCAGGCAGGGCAGTACCTGGCTCAGAGCCGCTGTCCTCTGTGAGCCGGCCTGTGGACGGCTGCTGCACAGGAGAGGTTGGAAGCTCTCCAGCTTCCCGGTCTGCCACCTCATCATCACTAGACTCATCCAGACAGGAGCTGCTGTCGCTGCCCATGCTGCTGTTGTAGCCCCGGAAGCTGTCATAACCCCCAAAGATGTCCAGTTCATCCTCCTCCTCATCATCATCACCTTCCTCCTCTGTCCGCTCCAAAGATGAAGTCTTGTGGCAGAAGGTAGACACCAACTGAAAAAAGAGAGAGTCTGCTTTAAAATACACATTTTAGACCACATCCCACAAGAAACCTGCCTTCATTGCCAAGGCAGCCACATAGACTGGGGAAAGGCCTTGTGGTGGGCAATGTGTCCATGCAATAACCCCAAAGGCAGGAGTCTGAATCCCTACCAGGGAAGCTATTACCCCTGCAACAGCTCCCTTTACAGGTATTTCACAAACTGCATTCCGCTTCCCAACAGCAAACAACCAACCACAGAGCTGCAGCTACATAGAAGACAAGTTTGAGGAACACGGTGAGAATCCACGGAACTACACTGCCATGCTGACAAAGACAGAAGAGACTGTGTCTGTCCAGGCACTGTCTCTCCCAACAACTGCAGAGTATTGCAGACACTGTCAACATTAAAGTCACCACAAGCTTGAGCACAGAGCACAAAGCTGCACACTCTGGCCACCATAGCTCACAAGACCAGTACAGCCTGGATGTCAGCAGGACAAACTCAACTCCGGAGAAGGTTCATGTTCTTTGGAAACTGCATAGTCCACAGCTGACCTCAGTTCAGAAGCTGCATCAACAAGACAACAGGACAACATCTGAGTTTTTCTGTCAACAACAACTAGATGTCTCCATAACCAAACACCTTCACTACCTCTTCACGCTTGCTGTTACAGCAAGAGAGTAGAGGCAGCAACTGAAGAAAGAGTACAGAAATCCAGTGACTGTTTCTCAGATTAGAAGAATCTTGAACCGAGCTCCAAATAAGTGCAAAAAAAAAGCTGTGGAAAAGTGTTAGCAACTCATGAAAGAGCAACAAGAAGTGTTAGCACAGAGAGTGATGGAACAGAAAGGTAGACCGGAACAGCCACACAAGGCACTAGGATACAACTGTTCATGCAAGCAGGCAACAACAAAAGATCAGCCGCAAGCCCATCAGCTTCCAGTGCTAAATTCCTGCCGATCCCTAGCTTCTGTGTATTATTACAGTTACATGAACAGGAAGATCAGACTTCACCCACTGCTGTCTCCCCACATCCTCCCTGGCTTTCACACAAAACAGACCCAAGGTATCCCAAGTTTTCCCCTAAAGACAGAGTTGCTCTCCTGCAGATCCGCATCCTCAGACAGCATTCCTGATGTCTGAAAGGCCTGAACTCCTCAAAAAAAAGCACATTCACCCCTTTCTGGGTGTGCACTTTCCCTCAGCTCATAGGAGGTGAGCGATTTTAGATCGTTACGCTTCCACCAAACGCGAATAAAACTTGCAGACATGTTACAAGTTCCCAGGGCTGACAAGCAAGGACAGCACCACCCGCAGCTTGCTCAGAGAGGTGAGGGGGACTCAGAGGCCCATCCGTCCCAGGTCAGACCCATCATCCCCTCCAGCACCAGCCCGGTACCCATCAGCACAGGGGCGGGGCGGACGGCCACGCCGGCAATCATAACAACACGACGACCAGGAGGAGGCGGACCGGCCCTCCTCGCCCTCTCCCGGCCGCGGGCAGCCGTTATTCCAGTACCACACAGCCGGCCGGTCCCCCTTCGCCCCCGGGGGAGCCCCGGGGCCGGCCAAGCCCGGCCCGTCGCCCCTCACCTCTCCCCGATCCTGCTCCATGGCTCCCAGGACGCCGCTAGCCCGCCTCGCGCGCGGCGAGCACGTCTCCCCCCCAGAGGCGCCTCTGATTGGCAGCAGCCTGGAAAAGAAAACCAATCAGAGAACAGCTTATTCCCGCCGCGCTCCCCGCGGGGCACGACGGGAGCTGTAGTTATTTTTCCTTCCACGGCGTCGGTGAGGTGCAGCCATGGCGCCTGATGGCGGTCCCACCCAGGGGCGGAGGAGAGGACGGGCCCAGCTCCCGCCTCCCAGGGCACGGCGCCGGGGATTGCTGGCGGGCGCATCCCGTCCGTTCCCGTAGTCCTGGGTTAGTGCTCTCAGTCCCAGCAGCTTATGTAAACAACAAACCCCCCAAACTTCAGACCCATGGATGGATATGATGCCCAGCAACCATCAGCATCACTGAAACGATGTGAGCCCCGTGGAGACGCACAGCTGGAGTTGTGGGTCTTAAATGTAACCAAGGTTGCACAGGGCTTCCTAGAACCTTTGGTGAGTGGGTAAGGATTTGGTTGTTGGCATGAGGAACGCCATTAGCATGGCAGCGACCTCCCACCCTGCCCTGTCGTGTCCGAGCATTGCATGGTAGACAGCCCACATGAGTTAACGTTGCTGCTCTGCATGTCCTCAAATCACCAGTCTTGGAAATGTCATGCATAAATAGATATTTTATTTGGCAAAGAAAGTATCACCTATGCAAAAGAGGCCTTGAAGTGCTTACTGTGCTATGCAGTTGGTTTTAAAATTATTTATGTGTTTATAGCATAGCTTCTTCAGAGTACAAATGCTTCTCTCCTGTGACAGATAGAACTCAGGAATTGTTTTACTTCAGCCATTTTGTGTGTCGACGGCACAAGAGAAAAACAGCTCCTTAAAAGGAGAACTAGCTTACGATAGGCTAACCGGTCGTGAAAGAATGTGCGCCCTGAAGTACCTGACCAATGGGAAAAGGGGACAGGACATAAATACTGGAAATTTTGTAACTAGGTGTGCTCTTTTTGGGAGGTACTTGACTTGCTTGTTTTGATCTGGAATGAACTTTTATCTTTGCTTCGAAGACTCTGTCCTCTCTACATTTTTATCCATGAGCGAGTGTTTCTCACAATCTGGGGGCTCGCGTGGGATCAGCACCCCTGTTTTTGTGGGACGAGGCAGCAAGGATGGAGGGACGCGCCCTGCTGATTTTAGCAGTCTCCAACTTACTGCCTCGTTTCGTGGAGGGCAGCGGGTCCTATGCGGATGGAGGACTCTCGAAGCAAAAGGGAGAGAAAGGAAAAGTTGATAAGCTGATAAAATTGAATTACACGCGGCATCTGACAATTTCTGTGCATGGAACCCAGGTAAGAGCATTGACTGTTAAGTATCACTCAGGCGGCTGGGAAAGTCAGGGTAAGAAAATTGGCTGTTAAGTATTACCCGGGCTGGAGAGTGGGACTGAAAGTGTGTGAATGAGATGCAGGGTGATCTGTGAAGTGAGTGTGGAGCTCTTAAACCACGGTTCCATTTTTCCACAAGGAGACCGGCCGGTGAAGGGGAGAAGTGAAAGGGTTCCAGGTGAGCGGAGTCCTGCGGGAGACCTGCGAAGTGAGCGTGGAGCCCTTGTAACCGCGATTTTGCTTCTCCGCGAGGAGAGGAACCCCTGACGGCTTCTCTTTGAGGAGAAAGACCGGTAAAGGGGCGCCACGTCAGCGGGATCTGCGCGGGTAGTAGCGTCTCGGTGAGGAGAGAGACCGGTAAAGCACCGCCACGTGAGCGGGTATTGCGCGGTTCGACTTCTCTGTGAGGAGAGGCACCGGTAAAGGGGCGCTACCTAGGCGGGATCCGCGGTTAGGGACCGGGAAAGCGGCGCCACGTGGGCGGGATCTGCGCGCTTTGGTTTCTCCGTGAGGAGAGGGACCGCTAAAGGGGCGCCATGTGGGCGGGATCCGCGGTTAGGGGCCGGTAAAAGGTGCCACGTGACCGGGGTAACTGCCGCTCTGTGAAGAGAGGGACCGGTAAAAGGACACCACGTGAGCGGGTACCGCGCGGTTCGGCTTCTCTGTGAGGAGAGGCACCGGTAAAGGGGCGCCACGTGGGCGGGATCTGCACGGTTCGGTTTCTCCGTAAAGAGAGGGACCGGTAAACAGGCTCCATGTGGGCGGGATCTGCGTGGTTCGGCTTCTCTGCGAGGAGAGGGACCGGTTAAGGGGCACCACGTGGGCTGTGCCGCTCCGCGAGGAGAAGGAGCACCAGGGGGCAGAGTGAAAGGGTTCTAGGTGAACAGAGTCCCGCAGGAAACTGAGATAATGGGAAATAGGCCTAGTAAAAGGGATCGGAGGATCCGCGTTAGAGCATTTCACCAGACAGTCCTTTAGGGGTGATGCTCGGGAATTGGGGGCAGGGTTGCAGCCAGGGAAAAGATGAGAAAACCGGTTTTGAACAAGAAGAGGGATCTGAGGATCCTGGTTCGAGCATTCCACCTGACAGTCCTTTAGGGGTGATGCTGGGGAATTGGGGGCAGGGTTGCACCCAGGGAAAGGATAAGAAAAAGATGATACAATATTGTATGTTCTAATGGGTTCTTTTAACCCATTCAATCTGACCCATTATATTGGCCAAAATTCGGGTCGACGGAAGACTGGCTTTGTCAGGCTCTGAATTTATATGTGAATAGTAAGGAGCCTGCAAATCAAGAGGAGAGTGAATATGCTTTATGTTGGAGAGGGTCTTACCCTTTATTTATGGCAAAAGGTTTTGGGGAAAAGAAGGAAAGAAAAAAGGAAGAGAAATGGGAGCCTCTAGATCATTTACCACCTCCATATAACCCCAGGGCTGAGCCCCAGGAAAATGAAGAGGAAGGGGAAGGTAGCACAGAAGAAGGGGATGGACTTGTACGACCATCTGCCCCCTTACTTGAGGAATTACGAAGACCTCGGGCCACAGAGTTGGAACAGATTAAAAGGGGTGTCCAGAGTTTCCCTTTGCCCTCTTCTAACAGGGAATCTAGGGGAAACATGTTCCCCTTAAAAGAAGTGCCCATGCCAGGAGTTCCGTGAGGAGTGGGGTTCGTGAATGTACCTCTAACCAGTACTGAGGTTAGGGAATTTAGAAAGGAAACAAAAAAGTTATTGGAAGATCCTTTAGGTTTGTCAGAACAACTTGACCAGTTTTGGGGCCCCAATCTTTATACTTGGGATGAAATGCAGTTTATTTTAGGAGCCCTGTTTATGCCAGAGGAAAGACAAATGATTCGAGCTGCTGGGATTAGAATCTGGGAGCGGGAAAATTCTCCTGATGTGCAGAGAGGGGGAGGAGCAGAAATTCAGAGGGAGCAGAAATTCCCCACAGCAAGACCTATTTGGGATCAGAACAATGTTGCAGGAATAGATCCTGGGAGTGGTGCAGGGCGAGAGCTACTGAAAGTCAATTTTGTTACAAAGGCCTGGCCTGATATAAAAAGTTGGAAGATTGGCATGACCAGGATTTAAATGATTTGTTGCAGGAGGCCCAAAAGGTGTATGTTAGAAGAGATGATGAGAAACAAAAAGCTAAAACCAAATTGATGGTGGCTACAGTGGAGCAGGTGATGAAGCGGCAACCGGAGAAAGGGAAGGAAAAAGAGAGGTTACCAAGCTGTGGGAAGTGGGGGGGGCACATATGGACCAGGATGTGGGGGCTCTAGGACCCAGAAAGGGCAAAGAGAGACCCCACCTGGGTGGCAAGTTGGCTCCAAGAGATGCTTTTATTGTGGAAGGGAGGGACATTTCAGAAGGGAATGTCCAATGAGACAGAAGGAGAGTCAGTTATTCCAGATGATGGAACACGATGACTATTCTCAGGAATAGGGCTGTCAGGGGCTCTACCTTCTGGGGTCCGATCATCATTCTGAGCCCTTGATAGATTTAAAATTAGGACCCCAGAAGGAGGAATATGTTTGTTTTTAGTAGATTCAGGAGCTGAGAAGTCAAGTATAATACAAACTCCACAAGGGTATGAGACAGGGAAACTTACAACTAAAGTGATTGGAGTAAAAGGGGAAGGGTTCTCAGTCCCTATTGTAGAACAAGTAATGATTCAGGGGGATAACAAAGAAGTTATGGCCGACTTGGTAGTGATACCAGAGGCAGGAGTGAACCTATTGGGGAGAGATTTACAAATTCCATTAGGGATTGGAGTAGTTCCAAAGGATAATAAAATGGTGGTGCAGCTATTTAAATTAACGGTGAAGGATGAGAAAGAGATTGGCTCAGTGGTTTGGGTAGCAGATGGCAATAGAGGGGGGCTAGATATACCCTCTTTAAGAGTAGAATTAAAGAAAAAAAGAAATTCAACCGGTATGTGTGAAGCAATACCCTGTATCTTTGGAAGGGAGGAAAGGGCTTCAACCTGTGATTTGAGGGACTGTTAAAAGATGGCCTTTTAGAACCATGCATGTCCCCCTACAAGACACCTATTTTGCCAGTAAGAAAAGCAGATGGAGGTTGGAGGTTAGTACAGGATTTGAGGGAGCCGAACAGCATCACCCAGTTGTGCCTAATCCTTATACATTAAGTAAAATACCTCACGATCATGAGTGGCTTAGCGTGGTAGACCTCAAAGATGCCTTTTGGACCTGCCCTCTAGCAGTGGAAAGTCGAGATATGTTTGCTTTTGAGTGGGAAGACCCTGTATCTTTTCACCAGGGATCCAACTGCTTCAGTATGTGGATGATTTGTTAATATCTGGTAAAAATGAAATGGAAGTTCGGTCTGCCACCATTAAGTTATTAAACTTTTTAGGAGAAAAGGGGTTCCGGGTATCAAAAACTAAGTTGCAGTTTGTAGAGAAAGAAGTAAAGTGTTCGGGACATTTGATCAGCAAAGGGAAGAGAAGAATAAACCCGGAACGAATTTCTGGTATTGTAGCAGTTACTCTCCTGAAGAGTAAGAAAGAATTAAGGAGGTTCTTAGGTCTTCTTGGATACTGTAGGCTATGGATCGAAAGTTTTAGCCAATGTGTTAAATTTTTATATGAGAAATTGC